TTTTTTTTTTTTTTTTTTTTTTTTTTTTTTTATTGTTTTCCAGGTTTACTAGTCAGTTTTGGTTTTCCAACATTTACTTTAAAAACGAATAATTGTAGCTGTGAATGAGCTGCAAAGGCCAACACTCTACATACTTTATTACAGCTAAACTTCTAAAGGCTTTATCGTATACGAGAATGTGAAAAAAAAAAGATAGAATTCTGCTCTTGTTCGGTAAATCATCTTTGAAAGCCAGTTGGTTTTTAGGCCTAAAAATTTTAAGAATGGAAGTTTAGAGTTGGTTGTTTTGTAAATTTTGATAACAACTGCAAAGGCGCTCAGCAGGACTATTATTTACAGATAGGTCCAAGACGTGTACATCTTGTGAGATGTCGTGGTGGAAACATTAAACATCGTGCATTGCGGCTTGATACTGGGAACTTTTCGTGGGGTTCAGAAGGTTAATTTTTGGGGCGCACTTAACGCTCCATTTTTTCGTCTGCTAATTTACAATAAGACTTTGAAATTAACAAATGTAAAGGGAAGATACAGATAACTTCGGTAGTCACAAATCTTCGCGCTTGAATGCTGTATGCGAGAATAATAGGTCTAAATTGTGCTATTTCTGTGCATAATTTAATTTTACTCTCGTAAATTAACTCAACGTCAGAATACAAACGCAATGCTATTTTGCATTACGTTCGCGCAAGGACGTTAACATGGAACTATTTATTTTTTTTTAGTCTTGCTGCACTGTCAAAATAGCCCCATTTTTTCCTTCAAATTTTATTTTAAGCCAATAAAACTAGTTTTTTTGTAGGGGTCACTCGGAAATCACGTATAGTAGACACGATTTATAATGCTTCAAACAATGAATTAGTCCGTACCAAAACTTTAGTTAAGAACTCTATTATCACCATTGATGCAGTTCCGTTCAGGTAAACGTAAATCGTTTCGATGTAAATACCGTTTTTAAAATGCAATGACATAGTATACTAAGTTTATCGCTCTTTTTTTGAGCATCAAAGTATAATTATGACTTAAGAGTAGTGATTTGTAACAGCTTTTGTCAGAAGGATCAACTGCAAAGGACCTCAACATTCAACCAAGAAGTAATAAAAGTTTTAGACAATGGTATGAGGCTCATTATGCATTGCCTCTAGCACGCAAAAAGGGTGCTAAATTGACTGAAGATGAAGAAAATCGAATTAACAAAAAAAGAAGCAAAAGGACTATGCAGAAGTACCTTGAAAGGCAGAAAATAGCTGCAGTAGAACCTCATCTCATTGAGCAGTTCCAGAGCGGCAAGCTTTTGGGTGAGTGGATTTCTGCATGAAGTCTTTTTTGCTCGAGTGTGATTTGTAAAGTTTTTTGTATTTTTGTATTGGTCGGTCTGGAAATTGTTGAAGTGCAACTAGAACGATTTCATGTCAAGTCACCGTTGGTTCTTGTGAGTCTTGACGTTTGACAGGTCGTGAATTTTGGTACCGACGGCTGTTCATTGTGTGCATATCAGAAGTGTGTGTTTGGTTGAGTGGTGGTGTGGTCGGTGTAGTTCGGTTTTCTAATTTGATGTCTGTGGTTCAACTTCGGGCGGGTACATCCGAGGCAAGAGTCACATCGTAAACTTCTGATTGTTTACGTGTGTGCTAAGTCGTATCTCGGAAATCAAATCTGATTATGATGCAAGGGACGAGACCTATCATATCAGTTCCTTCACCTCGATTAGAACACTACTTTAAAATTGCAATGTCTTGTCTATTTGGGGATGCGGTTTCATTTTTCTTTGTAATTTCCATTTTCCACCATTGTTTTTACGAGCAAGTTTGATGTGACTTATTTCCAGCTTGTGTGAGTTCAAGGCCAGGCCAAGTTGGACGTTGCGATGGTTACATTTTAGAAGGAAAGGAGTTGGAATTTTATTTGCGTAAGATTCGTGCCAAGAAGGCTAAATAAGATTATGCTTAGTATAATGACTTGTTTTTGTTTGTTAAGTGGACCGTATATAAGACGCAGTCTGCTTATCTTGTGAATAAAAGTTGTTGAAATTTGTTTATTCATATTTAATAATGAGTAAAAAAGTAACTCAAATCGTTTTAGTTGAGCTGCATCGTGGCTGTTTATTATCAGCTGTACCTTACAGTACAGTTGTTTAGTTCTTTGTGTTACGCGACAAGGTTAGACTCTGTCACATTTTAGTTTTTTAATACCGACATAGAATTGAGGTTTGAAGAAGGTCCTTCTTGATTAGTTCGAGTTATTTTGCATTCTCGAGCATTTAGCATCAGTCGGGGACTTTGTGGTGAAGAGGTTCTTGACTTTTTTTATCAGGGTGGTAACGGGAATTGTACTAGGGCAAGAATTAGCTGAAAGATTATAAGGTTGCGGGGATGAAAGATGCTAGGGTTTTGACTGTGGTGTGGTAGACAGGAGAGTAGTTTTTGTTTTCAGTGTTTCTTAGTGGTTCTGTGTGTACAGTCCTCCCCCATCTTGTTTTTTTTTTCTGCCCGGTAACGATTGGGGAAGATTTCGCCTGTGTCAGGATACGGTTTATACGGTTGTGAGCTGTAGTTTGCTTTGTCATGTGATCCTTTTTCTTTTATCAGATACTTCATTATAAATCTAATTAACAATGATTACTGTGAGCAGGTATAACACGTTTAATGCTGTAAATAAATTAACAACAGCGAAAAAGTGGCTGAACATAAGGTGCGAGAGTCAGAAGTAAGATATAGAAGCCTTAGTTTCAACAGCTAGAACTCCAGATGAGGACCTAGGCTTCTGGAAATCGAGAAATCTTGCTTGGAGTTTATTAATTGCGTTTAAATTTAAGGTAATGGCTTGACAGTTTTGTTTAACACAAGTTCAAGAGGAATTTACTTGAATGAGATACACTTTTGCACCGAAGAAAGTAATGCATGCCAGTGAAATTGTTTGCAATGCCCGGAACCCGCAAGGTAGTCTGTACACATCCGTTGGAATTGCGAAACTGAAATAAAGCACATTTAATCATTGAAGTTCTACGAGTGACTGTAGGTAGTACTTTGGAATGGTGATTCTCAAAAACGGTTTGGTTGCTTTAAAGTAGTTCCGCGTGAATTGCAGGATGTTCTGATTGTGACTCGAGGAAGGGTTTTAGCAGTGTAGACTTCCTAGTTGCTGTCGAAACGTGGTTTTCAAACATTAACAGCGGAAGAGGTTGAGCTGATTTGGTTTTTTTTTAAATTTCTGTGGTGTTCTGGGCTCGCAACTGTACCAACGATTGAGGTGGTGTAAGAGGATGCAGGAATTGGGAACTGATTACCTTGGGGTAACGATAGTTGTTTTGAAGGGTAGTGGTTCTGGACCTTTTTATCGTTTTTTTCTGGCAGTTATAGACTGATTTTAACGGTTTTTAAATTAGGTAGGCTTTTTTCAACGCTGGGTGGATTTTACTTTTATTCTGGAATAAGTTGAGAGAAAGTTTAACTTACCAATTCATTCTGCATACGACCCGCTGAGATGATTAATAAGATATTTGAAACGGTAGTATACCGACACTAAAATCTTTGATCTAGCGACGGACAATGCGTACTTCTGGTGCTTACTGGTGATACAGATAGTGCTGTTTCATCCAAATAGTATCTTTTTTCTTGTACTACTTTGTCTTCTGTACAGCAACAATCATCTGTTGTACAAGACATGCAGGTTACCAGTTTATAGATTGATTTTGACTCCAAGTAATGCAAAATCCCACCGAAAACCGCGCTAACGATTCCTTAACATAGGGAGACAGTTAAACAGTCATACGTCATTTTTTGAATTTAGAGTTATTTTGAAAATTCTTTAATGATGATTGACAGAAAGTTCTTCGTAGAAGTCTCGCAATCGGAAAAGTTTGCTGAGCACAAAGAAGT